GGGGCCGGGGCCGGGGCCGGGGCCGAGAGACCGGAACCTGGCACCGGGGGCAGGGCTCCTCTGCTTGGAGGAGGTGGAGGAGCTCTATTTGCGTTGAAACGAGAAAATTCGTTTTACTCTAGAGTCGGAGCTGACGATTTTTCTGTAAACGATTCATCCGATGATGAGGTCTGCAGGTTTATTTCAAAACAAGAACTAAGACAAAAACACAAAAAGTTCAAAGTTAAAGAATGCGAAAGTTCATGAAAGTGAACAAGTTTGAAAACCAAACGAAATCCAATGACATTCCCAGCCAATCAAACCGATTCCTCCAGTTTTCTTCTTCCTGTGAATGCGCTCTAAAACTTTTCTCAACGTTCACACTGCCATAAGGAATTTTGCATCATGTTGGGAAGTTGTTGTGTTGTGTTCCTAGTAATTCAAGTTAAGAAGAGAATTCCATGCCTTCTAGTTTATGTTTTGCGGCAGTCCACGCCTGGTAGCTCGTTTTCCTCGTTAATTCGCACTTTCTGAATAAACCTGCTCCACCTGGTGTCGTATTTGGGTCCTGCCTTCTTCCCATTATGTCCACATGTATCACAAAGCGTTCATTTTCTGGTTACTGGTTGTAACTCCACTTTGAGAAAGCCTTCAAAACAAGGGCTTAAAAAGTGTAACATGTGTCGTCGTCTCTAGGGGGCGCCAGAGCACTTTGGCAAAAGTGTGAAACAAGAAAAAACAAAATGTGTGTGTTTCATGGACGGGTGCTCATTAATTTCAATTTAAAAAATTGAAATAGATTTTTTTTTTTACTTTAAATAGTTCCTTGGAGAGAGTACTGGAGCGTTAGCCTCTAACCCTCCCCCGCTCCTCCCCCGCTCACCTTTATTCATCTCCCGTTTCACCGCCTCCATGCCTCCAGACTGCTCGATGACATTATAGACTAGCTGAGAGGTTTTTTCGTCCCTCATCTCAGCCTCACTGATCCCCGCCGCAGACAGCAGCTTCCACAGATCGGGGTCGATGTTGTTGGGATCCCAGCCCACGTGGGTCACATGTCTGACACCACGGGAACAAACGGGAGACAGAGGAACACAGCGATGAAAAAGATTTTTAAATAATACAAAAAAACAAATGGAAGCTCCCAGTTGTCACACTCACTTGAAGCCACTGGGGGCGCCGATGTCGGCCTTGGAGAGTTTGGGGGCGTTCTTCTTCTTTTTGTCCTTCTTCTTCTCTTTGCTGTTCAGTAATGACGAAGGTGAAGGTATGGAGCGGTACCGTGACGTCTGGATGTCTGGGTTCTGTATGTCCACCATGGCCATGGGGTGAGATCCTGGACTGCCAGGAGAACCTGGTGAGGTCAAGGGTCAGACGTTGAAGACCAGCGGTGATGAACGAACGAGTCCATGTTCATTAGAAAGAGTTTCGCAGGGAACGAACTCTAAAACACTTCCGTCTAAACCTAGCCTAGTCATGTCTGTGGTTTTGTTGACATTAACTGAAACTAAAAATCTCCTGAATGACGAGGTCATTTAGAAGGAACCTGAATGTGTATCAAACACTATCGATGCTCAGCTTCAGTTGGTTTCTATGGGGCAGACACTGGGTGGTGATTCAACTGTGTGATTGGACACATTTATTTAAATGTTATTTATTTATTATTACTATTTTTATTGACACTAGAGCATTTACTGTTTCAGCTGAATTTTCTCATTTCCTTGTTTCACTTTTTTTCCACTGCCCCCTCCCAACAAAAACAAACAAACTTTTTTTTGTTTGACACTAGAGCATTTACTGTTTCAGCCGGATTTTCTTTCAAACTTTTTTTTGTTTTTCGTAATCAAACCACCAACCTTTTTCATTTGGAAGCGGGGGCAGAGCTCCTCGGTCTGAAGCGACACAGGATGCAGTGAGAACAGGAAACAAGCGCAGTCATCGTTACATCCTTGTTTCTAATGTTAACGGCAGAGTAAAATGCTGTCTTACCAGTTGGTGGCAGGGGGCGCTTTTTCTTCTCTGTGAATGAGAAGAACGAGGCCAAACCAATGTTTTCTCACTTTGTTATTATAATATTTGGAAATGTTCCTCAAAAAATATCAATGATGATTTTTATACAGTTAACGTCAAATAATGATGGTTTAAAAACCAAACCTTGACTGTTGTTTCTTTGACTGATTTTCTCCTGAATGGCCTGTTGGAAAAGGTTCGCTTCCTGTTCCTTAGCGAAGTTCAGTCCTGCCAGACAGTCCTGCAGGGCACGACAAACCCTCCTTAACAACAAAGTACAAACATATATATATAAAATACACACACGTGTGTACCCAGGGTGGGACTTACATCTGCAGGGAAGGTGTGGAAGAACGGCCGAGGCGAGGAGTAGACTATCTGGTTGTAGAGCTCCTGCTCCCATATCTGCCTCCCTGCCTGTAGGGGGCGGTAAAAACAGCAGATGAGTGATGGTGGACGTGAGTGACGTGGTGTCAGTGTGGCGACAGGTGAATAATACCTTCAAATCAAACATCCTGATGAAGTAGGAGCGCTGGGGGTTGTCCTTGACCATGCACACCACTCCTGTGTGCTGCAGACTCCAGGTGGACGGACTGTGGGGCAGAGCCATGAACAGCTGGGCCACTGCGGTGGCCATGGACTGGACGGAAGACACGGGCAGTGAGAACAAATCAACGCTGACCATGACCAGCCAATCAGACGGACACAACGGAAATGAACTTCATTAACGAGTTAGCGTCTAATTTAAAAGGTCAGAATGTAATAACACCATGACACGTTTATATATATGTATGTATATATGTGTATATGTGTATATATATATCGAAACATATATACATATAAACATGCAATGGAAACATTTGAAAATAATGCATTTGAATTCCTTATACCTTTAAATATATTATTTTTGATATATTGATATATTGATATATAAATATATAAAGTCAACATTAACAAGTCAACAAGTAGAAAATAAAACAAATGCCTACTTATTTAAAATGTTTCCTTTCCTTTTTATGATCTTTAATGCAATACTATGCATTTAATATAATTATTTATACATACTGTATAAAGCCAATATATCTATGTATATTCTTATATCTTCTAAAAAATATAACAACCTTTGATCCTATCTTAATCTCATTACATAACAGTATATATTTCTGTATATATTTACATATATGGGCATATATGTATTTATATATTTTTACATATATGTATATATTTGTGTATATATTTATATATATTTACATGTATATTTATTCTGCAAATACAACAAGTCTTAAACTTCTTTTTACTTTTCATTGACTTTGGTGCCGTTGCAGAGTCGAGTTCCTTTGAATAAACATTTCACGGCTAATGACTAAGTACAAGATAAAGTGACACATAAGAAGATGTGATCATTTATTAGATTAGATAAAGGTGCTGTCACAGTCACAGTCGGAGTCAGAGTCAGAGTCAGAGTCAGAGTCAGAGTCACAGTCAGAGTCACAGTCACAGTCGGAGTCACAGTCACAGTCGGAGTCACAGTCACAGTCGGAGTCACAGTCAGAGTGAGAAACAACAACTTCTGCTCTGCAGTCAGACTCGGTCACAGCAGCTAATTCTGACACAGGAAGAAATTGTTCAGCCATCATTTCCTGTAACTGCTGCGTCCTCTGTGATGACCTAATGTTCGCTGCTTTGAAACTGCATTTTCCTCAACAACACGCAAGGGTTTCCTTTGTCAAGGGGTTCACTCCAAAAAAAAAAACAAAACATGTTAGTTTTTTTGGAGTGAAAAACACCTTTGTCAAGGGGTTCACTCCAAAAAAACAAACATCACAACAGCACAACAAAGGACCACCAAAGAAAAGCAGTCATTGTTTAACATTAAAGTCCTTCCTCTTCAGAACAACTTGTTTGTGTGTTTTTCTTTAAATTAAGGATGTGGAGCTCAAACCAGAAGCAAAGTGTTGAACAAATGAGTCTGGAGGCTGGAGCAGTGACAGTTCATGTAGCAGCAGGAAATAACTGGACTTAATTTCTTCCATATGTTCTCTGTGCTTTCATGAAAAAGAAAGAAAGACAGACAGAAAGATATGTCCTGGCGAGGACAAGTGTCATCCCACAGAGACTGAGACCTGCTGTGGGTCAGTTCAGAACTTACAGCACACCTTCTGCCCAGCAGCTCCTCCACCATCTCATTCTCCTGTGGGCTCAGCAGCGAGCTCCGGCTGCTCTGCATTTTACTTTTGGACCCTCGACTCATGGCTGCCTGAGGAGTGAGTTCATCGTCTGAAAAGCCGCCCTCTCTCGTCCTACGCTGCCACAACACTGAGGCTCTCAGTCAAGGAAGTTTCTCTTCTCTGTTTTCAGCACACATCATTTCGAAGCAGGAAGCGGCGACCGCACTTCTCTAACCCCCACTTTTCTTCTTTCTCTCAGAGGCAGGGCCACAACGAACGTGTTACTTCCATTTTCAGATAACGGAAGCGCGTTCTGCTCTAACTCTGCTCCGGCTCACGGCACTTCACTTTTCACTCAGCGTTTAAAAAAAAAAAAAAAATCAAATAAACAAACAAAAACACCCAGGAGTGTTCAAGTACAACATTTTATTGACAACATTCAATTTAATTTAAAAATATACAGGAAGGAAAGCAAACTTTAATGCTGAACTGATCTGCAGAGGGGTTAATATTGAACCCTCCCATTTTTTTTTTTTTATCAGTACTTGGACTTTGCAAAACATGATAACAAAAAAGTCATACTACTTTAATACAACAATAAATATTTTTTGGTTTGCAGCATTGATGTCTTTAGGGTCACATTGATAGTTGACGGTCGTCCAACCCACATTTTTTTGTCTTTGTGTCTTTCTGTAAATGTCAGTAACTTAACTTTTTCTTTTTCTTTTTTTCTGACCTTCATAAATAGCAGCAAAACCCCCGCTGACAGCACCTCAGGTTGGATGCACCGTAAAGGTCACTTCAGATCCAGCTCTGATGACGATAACCTTTACAATACTTATATTTTATAAGTGTCAGAATATATTAACAAAGTATCATGTTAAAACACATTATATCAGTTGTATGAGCAAATTTTGTGAGTTAGATTTTTTTTTTTTTAAATATATTTTTACAGAGAGGAATGGTTAGTGTGGAGCGGAAGACTAACCCTTGCTGCTAAAATATAACGAGGTTCAGGGAAAATTCCAGATGTCTTAATGTCTCTGATGTGCAATAAAATAGTAATGGATAAAAAAAAAAACAACAAACATCGAACTTCTGATTGTCACATTTTTACTCCTGCCATGAATAATCTGAAATTTTAAGGGAAGTAGAGAGGGAGGAGATGGGGCAGAGACGGCGCCACCTCTGGAAACTCTACACATCTTTACTCTAAAATGGGTATTTCCCGACGAGTCGTGTGATTCACATTCATCCTTACCACTGTTTACTCCTTTACAGCCACAGACGGGGGGGGCCGAGGGGGGGTCGACTCAGAACACTTGGCCTCATTTTGGTTTTCTCATCGTTGTTCTCCTCTTCACCAGCAGGACTTTTCTGTCCCCCGTTACTTTGGGACTCTCTTTTACTTTTTTTTATTTGTCCACATTATCTTTCGCCGTGTGCAGCCAAACCTTCGGGTTTGGTTTTGGACAAGAACTCAGCAGATTCAGGAGAATTTAATGACAGGGGGCTTTGGTTGCCATGCTTTTCTGGACCGGGTCCAGTCCGTGCGGTTAGTGCCCACCTCCGCTTCTCGACTCCCCGCTCACCCAGTCGGTGATGATGAAGGACAGACTCATCACCATGAAGATGAAGCCCAGCGTGGCGAAACATGCAGCCTACAGAAGGACGTGAAAAAAAAAACAAAAACCAACATCAGACACAAAAATGTTTTTTTGACTGTTTCCTTTTTTACATGGCCGTTAAGGAAGGGCTCGTACCTGGATCTTGGGTCTGGACAAAAGCGGCTCGTGCTCCTCGGGAACGATCCGGATGTAAAAGATAGATGGGAGGATGAAGATGAGGCTGGGGGCAGACGTGGCTCCTGTAAAATCAAACACAGGAAGTTGAGTTCACGGTTCGGGACCAGAACCTCTGACCGCACTTCGTTCACATCTGTCCGGACGTACCGATGATGCCAAAGATGTCCCGGATGCTGGGCACAAAGATGACCAGGAGGTTGACCACGAAAATGAGACAAAATGCGATGGCGATGTGTCTGGCCCAATGGAAGGGTTTGTCGGGAAACAGGATCTGAAGCATCGCCCTGCGGATCTGCAACAACACGGAGGAGAAGAAATGGGTTTATTTTTCGGCCGACCGATGTTAGCATAATTATGTAATATCGGTAGGAAACGTTATCGATTTTTTAACCAGATAATGCTATGCTTGAATCGCATTAAAAAGTTATTTTGCACAGACAATGTTAATTTGTAGAGCGCCCCCAGTGGGGCATCGCAATTAACATAGGTAACGTGTTGAGTCCAGTAAGGAGATATGTCATGTGACCTTAAAATAGTTTTGGGGAAAAAAACGGATGCATGTATCGGTTGATACTGAAATCGGAAATTAAGTGTTTGGACAATATCGGAAATGATGAAATGTATGTATGAAAAACTGCACATTTCTGTTGCTCAGCTTTGAGTCGCTAAATTAACAACTGCACATTTCTGTTGCTCAGCTTTGAATTAACTTTAACACATTACCTTAATTGTTAATTAACATCCGTAAACCCTGTCAACAACAACTCAGTTTTATGCTAACTACTAAAACAACGTGTTACTGGCTAAAGGCTAATGTTGTGACCTCAGTATGAAACTGGAGAAGGTTATTAAAAAAAGTAGAGAAACAAAATTTTCAAATGCTGTGTTGAAAAGATAAAAGTCAAGGATGACTTTTTTTCAGAAATTTCAGAACGAGGAGACGCATTCTCGTTTCCACCACCAGAGGTCATCGCTTCTCCATCTGTCTGCTCAGGCCACGTTTATGTCGGTGATGAATGAAGATCTTACCGGAAACAGCACCACGGGAACAGTCAACGTGACGGCCACCAGCACGGCCAGACGCACGCACAGAATGAGGACGTCGTTCGAGCCCACGCGGCTGTACGTGTGCAGCAGCTCCGACTCCACGCCACCTTTCCACAAAGAGACACACAGAGTGAGTCACACGGTCGGCTCAGAGCTCATTCACATACGCTGGAAAATAAGATCACGGGATCCGGACACAAGTGGCTCGTTCACTAAAAAAATCACGACGACAGATCAGGGCGACCTCTGACCTCTGGGGAGCGGACGGCGTCTTACCGTAAAAAGTGAGGTAACCAAAGATGGCCGTCAGCAGGTACATGACGAACATGGCCAAGATGGAGATGTTAGCGACGCCCTGCATTCGTTTCTTGGTGGCACTGGGGGTTTGAGAATTTAAAAAAAAAAAAGAGAATTAAAAATCCGAAAAAAAGTATTTTCTAATAATTGTAAACGTAAAGAAAACATAAACATTTGGCGGCTTACTCTCGTAGCTCGGTGTAAATGGGCAGAACCTCCGGGTGGCAGACAAACGCAAAGGCCAGGATTGGGATGGTATATGCAGTCTACAAGGAAAACACAACCAGGTTGGAAGAGTACTTGAGTATTTCTTTTATGATTACTGATACTGAGTCTGTTTACCAACAGACTCAGAAAAACTTGTTCTTTAATCTGTGTGTTGCTTTTATTACTGGGGTTGACAGAGAGTGACAGTAAATATTGGCTAAACCTAAGTAATCCTGAATATATATATTCCGCTTGAAACAGAACGACGAACAGCAACATTAATCTACACGACTGGATTATTGATGTGTGAATATGTTAAGAGAAATAAGCAAAATTATCAGTCAAACTTTAGCGTCGTTGTTGGAGTTTTGAGTCAGTCCTCAGTACAATTGACGTTTGTCGTCTTCCTTTCTGCCCTGAGCGTCTAACTAGAAGTCAAGGTTATGGTTTTACCAGCAGCGTGTGCAAATAACACGTGTTTTGAATGTGCCCCGGGGCGATAACAGCGTTATCATGCTTCATGTGCTCGATGTTAGCGTACGTTACAAATTATCAGATGATTAATTTTCACATGTGACAGCCCTGATGTTAACAAAAGGCTCGTTCACATTTTCATCAGTTAAATCGGTCAATATTTTTGGCAACATTTGATTTTTTTTACCGACTTATTTCTCCAACGTTATATAAAAATGTGTTTAAAAAAAAAACACCTCTCACCTGTGAGTTGACTGTAAACATTTTAGCTTCACACATATCTTCCGTCACATTAACCGCGCTGTGGCCGTGGCCGTGGTCGACGTCGCTGATGTTGTGATATAGGTCCTCCAGTGGACACTGGGTGTTGAACTTCTTGTAAACCGCGCTAGGGTCACAGGAGGTCACAGGAGGTCACGGAGGATTATGTTTGATTTGACTTCTGACCTGGTTCTATGAAGGAACAATCATGTGGTCAACTACTGGAAGAGTGTGTCATGACAAGTCAAGTTGAACCGGAACCAAAGGTGTAAGATGTTGCATTCTCCCACGCCGACCTCCGTCTAAATGTTTTAACTCAGGACTTTTTCAAACACCCAAATGAAATGACATTATTTAAGGTTTGTTTTAGAATCGTAACTTTTTTCACATCAAGGATCGGTCGGTCGGTACCGCACCGTCGTTGAAGGATCATTACATTTTCAAAAATAAAAGATCTTTCAGACTTTATTCTCAGTCAGTATCAGAGCCTGTGGTTTTAAAACATTACCAGATTCTTATCTTTTAATGAGAAACGTAAAGACATATGAGTGGATTCTTTTTTAATTTAGTACATTTCTTCACTGCGGACCGGTAATGAATGACGTACGGACCGGCAGTGGTCCCTCATTTTAGTGAGCTGAAGTCGACCGCTTGGTTCGCTTTCAATAGTGTAAAAAAAATATGAACCAAACGAAATCCAATGACATTCCCTGAACAATCAGACCCTCCGGTTTATCTTGTTGTGAATGCGCTTTAACACTTTTCTCCATGTCCACACTGCCATGTGGAATTTTGCATCATGTTGGGAAGTTGTGTAACGATCAACAACAAATGTGTCAGGGCTGTCTCTCTGTTTCCCCTCTTCCTGTCCTGTCTGCTGGGTGGAGTCAGTGTCATCACACTCACCTGTGTCTCTGATTAGTCTGACTGGTGTCACCTGGTGTCACCTGGTGTCACCTGGTGCCCTGGGTATATATACCTCCCTCATTGTGTCGTTGTAGGGTTGTTGTGCTGTTGTGTTTCTGTAGCTGTTGTGAGTGTTCAGTTCAGGTCATGTTCTGTGTTCCTAATAATTCAAGTCAAGAAGAGAATTTCATGCCTTCTAGTTTCATGTTTTGCTTTGTCCTTCTCATGATGTCCACCCGTAACAAATTGTTTGTTAAACTGAAGCGTGAGTCGGATTCGTTGCTCTCGTGTCTGTTCCTGGCGCCGGTAACGACTTTGCGTCAGTCTTATCTTTTTACTAAGGATACGGTTGATTACAATTTACAATGATTAGTTTGTTTGTGTGCTCCGTCTGACTCACCGATATGAGAAAGAACACCATGCAGGACAGGGAGAAGCCACTTGTGTAACCCAGGTAACCTGGAGGACAGTGGAAGAAAAGATGACGGAATCAACAATAAAATCAGTGACAGTGAATAATAAAAAATAAAAATAAAAAAAAAAACAGAACGTGAAAGTGAACTTGACAAAAAGCTACAAAACAAACAGTGTGTAAAAAGAAAAAGTGTGACGACAGAATGGAAAACATACCAAGTTGTTTCATGATGGCTAGAGGAAGGATGATGAAAATGCTAACTATGATGATCAAGATGTTTCCATTCAAGAACCACTCTCTACAAAAAAAAAACGGTCAAACAAACAGATGACAATAATCAGTATTCCAGGAACATAAAGTCCACACCACGGCACAATGGATCCATTAGAGCCGTAATAACTTTGACTGCTGTTTCTCACTCGTTGCTCGCTTCATTTTTGAGGAAAGACTGAATGACCAGAGGGAGCTCGGATTTTATGATGAAGAGATAGCTGGACATCGCTGAAAGTAGGAGCAGAAACAACAACAACAACCTTCGTCATTCGTGTTATTAACACACAGACACCATAATATTATAATGCATCAGTAATCTGTACACATTTGTTCTTCTTCAAGGTTTTAAATTACGGCTGTCAAAACGAATGAATCTGTTAAATATTTAATCAGATGTTTGTGTGTTTTCAGTAATAATAATAATAATTCCAGTATTTGGACGAGGCGGTGTGAAATGTGGACGTTTATGTTGATTTATCTAGATTAGTCACGGTTAATTGTGATTAATCAAAACCTCGAATCCACCCATCTGACAGCTCTGATTTAAAAAACAAATGCTTGGGAACCAGAAGCTCGTTCTCAGGAACTCTGAACCGCGGCGGGCGTGGACATCCATTAAACGGCCGTGACCTTTTCAGCCAGGTGTGTGGAGTTGTTTCTCAGCAACACTTGCGACTACCTCCTGCTGTGCCAGCTTCCCAGCACGGGGCTGCAGAGCACATTACAATTCTGTTTAAGCTTTAGTTTAATCATAATGTGTTTACAAGACGCCCAGGAAAAATGTCTAAATCTGAGGTGAATGAGCTTCTGTTTCTCTGCATTTGTCACTTTTTCCTAAAAAAAATGTTTGGCAACAACAAAGGCTGCAAAAAAAAGAGGGCATTTAGTCAAAGTTAACTTCGGTACAGTGCTGCAAATATTTATTTTATAAACTGAGAAAAGCGCTGTGTTACCTCCGATGTTGTGTATTGTGATCACGGTGGCAGCCAGCATTTTCCCTGGGGGGCCAAAAGCCCGATTTCCAAGCTGCTCGTAAGCCCTGATCCCTGAAAACACATGGGCACCGTGACATGGACCACGTCCTGAGCTGATTATCAGATGATGCAGCGAGTACCGTTTAAAGTGACTTACCAACAACTCCAGCACTTTTCAACAGGAGGTGGATTGAATATGCAGACAGAACCGCAATGAACACAAGGAGGATTCTGGAACAAAAAAAAAAAAACAAAGATTGATGTTTTGTTTTGTTTTTCTGATCAATCAAATGTCATTTCAAATCTGATACAGAAGGGAAAATTGTGACATTTTCGACGTCCACACTGAAATTAAACAGTAATCGGAGATTGTCCTTTTTTTTTTTTTCCACCCACACAAGAGAGTTTGGTTTGGCATTAAGAGACGGACTTCTCTCCAGCTTCTCTCCATCCCCCCCCGCCACATAGCACGGGGCAGATCCAAGCAGGCGTGTCTTGGATCTGATCACCAGGGTCTAAATTTAACCGCTCCAATCTGATTTAGAGGAGCTGCATGTGTGCCAGCTCTGATGTACAGTGAGACAGGTCGGCCCAGCGAGGCCGTTCCATATGCAGCCCGAGTCGACGGGCCGGCAGGGCCAACGACAGACGGACAGCTGCAAAATTCACACAGCTGGTCCGTGCCACCACACGTACCTGTCCTAATACAAACACAGGACGTGTGCACAGGCAGGCGGGGGACACGCCCCTGTGGCTGTGTTTCCAGCCTTAAAAGGTTCCACTCATGACTGTATCCAAACACAGAGCAAAGCAAGTGGAGAAATCTGACACATAGAAGCTGTCGTATAGAGATTAAATACAAATAAATGAGCAGCATTTGACTAAAAAAAAATATTTTTTTTTTTGTAAATATCTGCACATTTTGGAAACACACATTTTTAATAACCCTACGTAACTAACCCAACATGGAGTGTGTACTGATACTCACATAAAAAGAATGATTCCAGTGTTGGACATTGCAAATGCCAATCCCAGAATTCCACTGCCCATGATGGCGTTACTGAGGTTGAAGACGGACATGCCAAAAGAGGTCTTTCCCTCAAACTATATCAGTAAAAAAAAAAAAAAAAAGTTAACACACATCAATATGTTTACATGTTAAACTTAATTTAACGGATCAATGAGACAATTATTGGTTTTTAAACATGGAACGGTGCGTGTGCTCAAAGTTTGTTCAACTAAATGCTTCCACTGGTCAACAACTCTAGGCCTGAAAAGCTTCTGGCAAGAAAGCGCTAACGTGTAATGGAAAAAAGCCTTTGACTGTTTACAATTGATCCTGAAAATCGTCGTTTTTAAAAGAGTACATCTTAAATGTGATCATTGTTTGATATTTAGACAATTCAAAATTATTACAGATATTTAAACCGTTATTTAGAATCTAACATCACAGGTTCTTCTTCTTGGGGTCTTTATTTATACATTGTCAAAGAAATAATGATAGCTATCATAAAAAAAAGGACCTAGCTACTCCTATGGCTGTGGAACATGAACCCACAAACTGCTCTTGTTTCACCAACTTCTAATTACTGAGAACTTGGGTTTGGTCCCGATTACGTCAAAGAATTTATGCAGAAGTAACAAAATGAGCGCACATCTGTGCTTCCTGGTGTCCGGCAACGGTATCTGCAGGAAATGGCCTCAGAGATACAACTGTCACAGAGTCAACTGCAGACAATGTTGTTAAGAAGTTGTTTAAGATAAATGAGCGTTATATTGCGGGGTTACATTTTTACCGTCTGTCAGGTATTTTTTTCCATAGTTTAACATCATTTATTCTGCTGTCAATCATTGTTTGGCATGTTAAGCAGGTAGGTGTGTATCGGCAACTTTTGCTACAACCCGTACTCTCGATATTTGCAAACTTGACGACACAAAGAATCAAAATCTCTTACGTCTGTAAACTGAATTTCCTTCTTTGCACCACTTTTTTGTGGGAGAAACTCCTCTTGTTCTGCCAAAGTGTCCAGCCCATCAAACCTACAACAATGACAATGAATTAGGCCACATCCGTTTCACCGTGACATCTTATACCGACTTGTCATCTGTGAGAAACTCACCCGTCTTCCCTGCCGTGGCCATTCATTTTCTGGAGCTCCATCGTGGTTTCTGTTGTTGATCAAGAGAGTCTGTGTGAAAATTCACTCAATGGTTTTCTGGAGGGGGAAAAAAATACACCATTGTTTAATTTAAGATATTACTATTTTTAGAAAAACGCTGCATTCGTGACACTGTGACTATGCGCAATAACGCTACTGGAATCCTGTCCTGAACTTGTCCAAATTTGGAAAGGAAAGGAATCTTTGAGATATCCGAAAACTTTTAACTCAAATTACTCAACAACACTGGCTGGTTGCCAAATTATTTGCAACCCCGCGCTTTAAAGGGCTAGCCGTCGCATTTACATGAACCGTGTTTTTAAAAGAACAGACCCAGTAAATCCTGAAACACAACGCTGTAATTTATCCTTCTAACCGAGAACAACATAAATCTTCCAGAGATATATTTGTCCTCGTCTGTGGTGACCAAAATATATTTTCTGTCCTTCTGTTCCGTGCTTCGCATCAGTAGTTTGTGTAAGAGGACTTACGTTTTATTTACTAAAACCAATGGAATTGATGACAGCATTTGGTGCGTTGATTTTAGTGAGTCAAGGGCAAGGGTCCGCAACTCTTGTCTCCTGAGCCACAGGCAGCAGTTCATCATGTCCTGTGTGTAGTTACCAACTAATGAGGCCTGGGCTTTTTATGAACCGCACAACAACATGATGTCACTGTTGTCTTCAACTCAAATTTTGGCGTTGGTGCAGTATCAGAGGGCTTGAGAGTTTATTTCTGGTTGAGGTCAAAATAATAAACACCACAGAAATGACTTCAGCTGTACTCCATGTGTCGTACGAAATACTGGCTAATCATGTTTAGACTCCTCTAATTGCATGTTCTATAACACTGTAACAAAGCCACAGTAGTAAAAACGTCACACACGGCACTACTGTCATCATCGTTGAATGTCAAACATATTTTGCGGCTTTGCTTAGCTGAGCAGTATTTGGAGGTACAAGTTGTCTCATTTGGTGTTAAATGTTGCATGTCACCGGTTCGGAGTTCGTAATGGAAACTCTTAAGCTCCCGTATTCCGAGGACATACTGTATGCTACTGTGATCTCCTGTGAGCCAAACAAAGCTGGCATGAATATTCCTTGGGAATGAGAGTAGGTCTGTGCTCCCTCCAGAGGGTCAGGGGAAAATTTCCCATCTCAGTGGGCATGGCTACCATCTGGACTTTCACATCGGACCCCTGAATACACACCACCCAGTTATTCTGCCATTTCTTAAGAGTTTCACACACAACCTGATTTTTTTTTTACAACTGTTTCGTACTCTCAGTACTGAACAGGCCTGAGGGAGTACAACAATCCATACAACGTGGTAGCCACGAAGACAAACAAAGGCTTCCTGTTTAAATGATGTCCTATAGGCTAAACATAAAGCGTTTTTTCCAGGGTTTTTCTTTCTTTTAGTAAGAGTGACATTTATAACGACTTCCTCATAGGATTAAGCCAAAAACAAACAGTCAGATCAAGAGTAAATGTTAAAAAGTCATTTTTACACCATTTTCACTGATATATGTTTAAATTACGCCTCGAAGTTTCCTACGCGATATAATGGACAGTATTTACAGTAGTAGTATGCTAACGTTTTGAGCGGGGAAGTTAATAAAACATAAAGCGAATGTTGCTAAAACTCGTTCTAATTAATAACTAACTAATTTTTTGTTAATTTTAACCAAGTGACACGATGACTATAAATATATAGGACATATAATATATATATTTAACCCAAAAGTAAGAAACAAAACATACATATATTTAAGTTTTACAGAGCAATACACCAACTTCTCTCGGAAACATCTAGACGCCTGACGCTGTACACAACGGCGTCTTTCGGGGAACTTAATTTTTTAATAATACAACAGGACATCTCGAGTTTAACGCACAGCCGTGCGGGTTAATGCCGCCTTACGCCTCACAAATTCAAACCACATGGTTCTTGTCTGATGCAACAGCAGCTTACTATGTCAGACAGCCCATCCCGTCCCTTCCCAACACGTAAAAGTCACAAAAACACCGCTACGTCTTACCTCGGGGATGAGCCGAAATTTGTAGTCGCGTTTTCTTTGGGTGTTAAGCAGTAATTCCTCCTGCAATTAGCTGAATATTGATAGGGAGGGGGGAAACCCAATGTTTGTATACAGATCAGCTCTTAAAGTCTTTCTCGGAGCTCCTTGGTGTTGGAGGAGGGAGAGTGAGAGAGAGAGAGAGAGAGAGTGAGCGAGATTAGAGACTGTGGAGGGAGGTAGTGAGAGGGGAATAGGGACAGTGTTTAACCCTTTGTTCAACCAGTTTACAGGTAGTATCGCCGTCACAAAGGCCTTGCGGGGCGTCCACTCTCCAGGTGTTCACAATGTAAATGTGTAAACACTGCAGCCAGCCGGCACAAAAGGACAGGAATTTCATGTGTAGTTTTATGGAAGTTTGAAGTTCAAGGCAATGGTCGACCCCTGAGAGCCATTATATCCACATGGATGCTGGGAGTCACAATGGAGACTAATTATCATGTCAGTGCAGGTCCAAAAGAAGAATGGGGGAGAGAAGGTGGGTGTTCATCTGATGGGGGTGCTCTGCATCCTGCAGGAAGGCACAGTGATGGTAATTAGTCTCCTTCACAGGTCTGCGACCTTTAACACCGAAAGAGACTTTGAAAAAAAAGAAAGAAAAGTGAATGAAGTTGGTAATCAAGCTTTTTAATTCTCACTTTACCCGTTATACCACTGGAAGAACGGAAAAAAAAATTGACATTGCTCTCGCTAGCTGTACTGCTACTTAATATTTCCCTCCTGATCTTGGGGAGAAGAGGACAGTGATGTTATGTTGTGTTGTTGTTAGCAACACATTTATATTTAAGCTACACATAGCTCGAGCTCGATGTGTAGAAAATGTTTATTCAAAATATTATTTGTCAACTTTATTGGATGTTCCGTCTCCCAAAGTGGAAGGAAAGTTTTACACGAAATGTTAGCATAATACACGACAGACAGCACTGAGCAAATGTTTTGTCTGTCCTCAAAGTACTTGTCACATGTACTGTAAAACACTGGAAATTAATCCTTCAGTCGGGGTGTGGGGGGGGGGGGGGGGGGGGGGGGGGGGGGGGGGGGGGCTGAAAATGCCTAAAAGCGCAACATGTAAACAAAGATTTCAAAAACGTAAAACTGCGTTTATACAGATATGTATTTTTAACTACACTAATCTAAAAAAAAACCGTAAAGCACTGGAACCGTGTCGCCGTCTGATTCGCGATCAACCCCTCAAAGTATAGAGAAACAAGGAAACAAAGCAAACAAACTGAACAAAGAAATCAATTTAGAGATCAAACAAACCCACACAGGGGGAGGACTCGGCCAAGTCTGGAGGTGAAGTGTCAGACACGTAAGATAAACACCTCTGGAAACCAGACTGAATCATACTGGGGAACAGACGAGAAAAAGATGATACATCGCAGAAAGGTATAATTTGGTTAGACCGAACGAGATCTTTGTGGTTAGAGAGACATATAACCCAGAGAACACTCTCCCGTGGTGAGAGACAGAGATGGAAGTGGGAGTGAGGAAAAGAACATTTGTGAAAATGAGGCCTATGTGATATTATCGTTTATAAGGAGATCCTCATTTGTCAGCAGTGAATCCAGTTTTTTGATATTGTTTGTTGAAAACAAAGCTAATAAACTAAGTACATAAGTACATCGAGAATACTGAAAGAAATGTTGTGCCCTTGTTTGTTGAAAACAAAGCTAATAAACCAAAAGTCCCGAAATTCTGGTTTGGGAACTCAGGACCAGTATCCGAGGCCTTGTTCACAGGGCAACGATTCTATGCGATACAAAACGATACGACTGCAGACCAAGTATCTGGAACAGTGGTCATCAGAGTTGGGGCGGCCAGAACTGAATACAGCAGTAAATAACTCTCTGGAGGAGGGGGGGTCACAGCATTCTGGAAACATACGTTTGTTGATAAAGTTCTGCTTCAAGAAGATACGGCCCTTCTCGGCTTTACTACCTAGAAAACAGCCGAGAGTTTCTTATCTCCCCGTGAAACAGAGCAGATTTTAGAAAAGTGACAGTCATGCTTTGTAATTTTTCTGTCTTTTCTGATCAGCAAGTTTGAAAAGAAAATACTACATCTGTAAAAGGAAACTCACCATTAGACCATTTGATATCTTTGCACAAATATATATCTGGTTGGTATTTTACCAAATGTATTTATAGAATACATATGTGTACATTATCATGACAAATGTGGAGGCAGATGTTCTGTGCTGCCCTTGCGGACTTTTCTCCAGTAACTTCCAGACAGAACCAGTCTTCACTCCAACTCCAGCAGGTAAAAGGTCAAGACTGCTGAAATATTCACTTTTACAAACTGCCTGGGACAGTGTCATGAAGTTCTCAGGAGCCATGAGAGGACAGGGAGAAAGGGGGAGGAGGGAGATAGTAAATTACGCACGTTGAAAAATTTCCCTGCCATCAGAAGCCAAGTCCCTCCCCGTCCTCTCACTCAGCCACATGTTGAGCTCAGTACTTTATAAAACACTCTCGAGTTAATTAGTCACACACGCTCTCTGTACTGTCGTGAAATTTGTGAAGTCACCAAAACAAAAACCACATTTTGATTTAAAATACTCTTGCTTGCTGACGTGCTTGACCATCAGAGTGGGTGTTCGGTACGTGTACAGCTGGCAGTGTCAATAAAATATGCTGCTGTGGAAAGTTACTGGTCTCCAGCTCAGTGCAAGCAGCCAACATCTCCACCGCCACCTAGTGGAGAGCAACTCTAAGGAGCTGCAGTTTAATGGACTATGATGACCAAGTCCTGCAGTTATTATTTTCAATGTAAAACAGTGCACGTTCCACAGTGGTCTAAAGGTCAAAGAGCTGGAAAAAAAGAAAGAAACCAAACTCAAATTTGTAGCATGATTTTTATTTGTATTATTTATGAAACTAAAAGACATTTGTTAGTAAAATCTGTGAAATCATTTGACATTTGTATTTATACTTGTTTGCATCCTTTCCCCCTTTCGACCCATGCGAAGAAGTTGCAGCGAGCCTCCGTGTTGGACGCGTGGCCCTGAGGACGCGCACAAACAAAGAACTGTTTGCCCATGTTTGGCCCCTCTTTTTTCACCGTCCGAAGAACACACGGTTCCCCGTGGACCTTACAGGACGGTGGTGGAGGCGGCCCTTGAAGGACGGATTTCCAAAACACCTGAGAGGCTTGTTTGTTGCTGTTCGAGTGTCCCACAGTGGGCCGGGGGGACGGGTGTTGTGTCCTCACCTGCTTGTTGGCGTTTTCTGAGGCATTGGTTTTGGGGTCAGTCTGTGCACGATGATCAGAGAACGGCTCTGTGTGTCCAAGCGCTGAGGACACGCCGTCCCCTGGTGTCGAACCTTCATTAGAGTTCTGTGCTGAAGTAGTTTCATCCAGGTTGTCCGTGTTTTTACACTGCTCCACAGGGTTGACAGAATTTGAAACTTTAGGTTTGAAGAAATTGAAGAGGCTGCCCTGTGGCGCTGAGACAGTCTTTGGCTTTTTCCCCTTGGGGACATCAGATGTCATTACACGTTTCTTACCCGATACATTTTCAGTTTTTGATGGTTTTAAATTCTCCCTCCTTTCTTCCTCTTCCTGAGATCCAGGTAATGCATCTTTTGGCATGGAGTGAACTGTTTTCTGCTCCACTTTTACAAGGAAGTGTGATAGTTTCAGCTGCTTGCCAGTAAACTCTGGAAGATAGCGAGTACAGAGGGGCGGAGGCCTGTTACAAGGCAGGACGGCACAGCTTAGCTGCCCCCAGACAGGGCAGTGATCTGACCCCTCCACCTCTGGCATGATGTCTGCATTCACAAACTGCCCCTCGACCAGCTGGAGGTCAGCAAATATGTAGTCAATGCGGGTGCCGTAGTTGGTCTGCCGCGCTCCAGTGAGAGTCGACCAGCACGTGAAGGCGTTGGTTTGTGTTGGGTGGAAATAGCGAAAGGTATCCACAAATTTCCCTCCAGGGATGTCATCAGTCGAGGTTTTTTCAGACTCTTCATCAGGTCGCTCCTCTGTGCTGTCGCAGTGCAAGAAGACATTCAGCCATTTCCTGCCAGGGTTTTCATCAAAATCTTCCTGGATTTCGGAGAAAGACAAAAAAGGGAAACATTTCGGTGCACGTTACATTAAAAAACAATAGATTCACATTTAGCATCTTTTTCACTTTTACTTACAATATCAGTGGGGTCACAGTGGTCTATTGGTCGGTGGGAGGTATTTACGTCTCCCACAATAATCACATGGCTGAAAACAAAGAAACAAAGAAAAGTAACTATTGTTATTTGTAACAAAGGTGTACTTCTTTCAATATTCAAAATTGAAAAAAATCAAATACATTTGAATGCGAACCAATGAACGTAATAACCTTGAATGTAATCAGGTTTCAGCTGGTATATTGGATCAGTTCCAAGAGGAATACAGTACGTCCTTGTTCAAATGAGGAACTACCTGCACCCCCCCACCTCCTGTTTAAACCCCGTATAAACCCACCTGCCAGTGTTTAGTAAAGCTTCTGCACGACACTGGAGCAACTTGTAGAACTGCAGTTTGAACTGTTTTCTCTCTGGTTTCTCAGGGTCAGCGCGGGGACAGTACACATTGATTACAGTCACAGTTTTCTCTTCCTCCTGACACCTGCGAGGAGAAGAGTAGGTTTCAAAACAGAAACAGTTTAGAAAAAACTATTCATTTTAACTCAACTATTTTCATACAGGCCAAAACAGCAAATACAGTAATATTATTTCCTCCTACGTGATTCTGTGCTTTGTGATCATGGCTCGTCCCTCGTTGTCCAAAAGCTGCAGCTCCTCACTTGAAAAGTCAGTGTGGTCACAGTAGCATCCCACAGCGCCTTCATGGTTGGTCAGCAGACCTGTGAGACCCTCCTCAGCAGCCACTGGAGTGGCACTGTCCTTACAGTAAGTGGCAACGCCTGTGGGCACATGTTTATGGAAGAGTGTGTGTTTCAGTTTCACCATAACTGGACCTAAAACGACGCATATTGACGGAAAGATCCTGTGGTTTTTTTAAGGACACTCACAATTGTTTTTATAATTTACTCGTCTTACAATGTTTTGAATAATCTATCAGTCAAGTGTCTAAAAATGATGTTTTATTTTACTTCCATATGGACCTAAAGTAGTTAAAATAATGACAGAGGAGACATAAGCAGGACAATGTCACTGTTAGGATCGTGTATTTAACCTGAATAGCCGCTGCGTCCACGACTGAAGCTGAAGTAGGAGTTGTAGCCCTCAACAATGGCAGTTCTTTCTTCTAGAAGGTCTCCTGAAAGAAAGAAGATGTGTTTTTGAATATTATTTGTTACTATTTAAATATATATTTATTTAAATAATAATAATATAATATAATAATAATAATATGTATATATTATAATAATATGTGCGGGGGAAATATATGTGGTAGTAGTTATATGATAATAAATAGCCTTGGACTATAAAAATACAGAAGACAAATTTTAAAAAATAAATACTTTAGAGCATAGATTATCTATTATTTAAAGCACTTCTTGAGTTTATTGCGTTTTAACAGGAAACGCTTTACAGTACGTCTTGATAACATACAGTTAATTTTGCCGTTCATATTTTCTTTGTAAATATAGGCTTCATTCGCAACACGATGACTGTGTTTGTGCTTTATTTCGTAGCGTGATTAATTTGAGCAGAATAAATACATTAGCTGCACATTTTAATGCAACACAGTAGGCCTTATTATCATTAATACATTTGTTATTATTATTATGCAGACGTTTCGTGTCGCGCGTACCGGACACCGCTGCTTCTTGCAGCAGCAGTGATGCACACTTACTTGTAACTTTGGTTTCCTGGACACAGATTATATCTGCATCAAATGAATCTAGAGTCTGTTTAATGCCGCTTTTGAAAGTCCTGATGCCATTAATGTTCCAAGTAACGATCTTCATTGTAAAAAAAAAAAGAAACAGGTCGTTCAGAAAAACATACCACTGCGGAAGTAAAACGGAAATCGAAAAAGCGCCAAGCGGAAGAGCATATATTAATATAAATATTACTATTTTATTGTCAACTAAAATTATTATTTTTTAAATTGTAATTCATATACAGCGTTAAAATAAAATAAATACATGTTTAATAAAATAAAATAAAAATAAAATAAAATAAACTGCGCCGTTGCTAGGCTAGAGGGCGTCATAGTGCTTTCTGGGTTTTCAGCGCGCTTTCGACACTCGACCTCCTGAAGTCCTGGGTGATGAAACAAGAGAACGCCGGCTGGGAGGAAGGAGAGGAGGAGCAGGAAGAAGTCGAAAAGCTGCTGGTCTGACTACAACACGGCACCACTGAGGCGACCAGCAAACGTTCCACCTGCTCGCGCCCGCGGGATGTGCACTTCAAGTGTTGGAAACCGTCGAGAACCGTATATATATATGAAGTAAAAAAAGTGAAGGGTGAGTAGCTACGTGTGCTAATGGCTAATTAGCTCATGTTGACAGGATGTGGGTTGATGTTGTAGCATACGAAACGTCAATGTTGAATGGGCTTTACATCCCCGTGAATGTGAATATGCTTTATATGGACAGGACGATGTATATCGAGCTTATAACTAAACAACGTTTGTAAATAGCATCGTGCTGTCATTAGCAGTGTCCATCTGATGCTAAAGCTGCTCTTGTTAGCTGCTCAGCGGTGTCACTTTCCCCACTCTTATTGTTGTCCTATATTGTAGTCCTTCGTTTTACATGGCGTTATTTGTAAAGAAAGAGAAAGCATGAGTAATTTGCTGTGATATTAAATGTGCCCTCCGTTGCTCCACATTTTTATTTATTTATTTAAAAAAGTCGTCTTTGGGATAGGAGGCTGATCACTTGGCTGATCGGACATGCGGTGGATGTTGTGTCCATCTTCGGTCAGTGAAGAGGGCACAGGAAATGTGGCCGAGTCTGCCACACCTTATTCAATATGGATGGTGGAAGTAGTGTAAAAGCATCGGCTTGGTTTCCACAGTCACGCGTTGGGTTGCGACGCCAACCATAACGTTGTAACACTAGTAACTAGGTGTATGCTACTGGGACGGACGGACGGAATGATGCTGATGTTGAAAAGGCACTGGTCCGTGAAATCTACCCATGGTTCTAACAATGGAACTCTGGAAGGAGGCGACACTGTCATAGTATATTTCTACATATATTAGCCAATTCCATGGCCATTACATATACTTCTCATTTACCTGTTATATGTTTAAGGTTAAAAAGTTATTTGGAGTATAGTTAGTGTAAAATTAGACCCATCAAAATGGGTCTAATTGAGGATAATCATTGAAAGTGTTGAGGATTTTAAGTATAGTTAGTGTAAAATTAGACCCATGAAAATGAGGATAATCATTGAAAGTGTTGAGTATTGTTTTTAAATTTCTAAATAATTCTGTTATGTTATACATTTGCCCTCGAAACTACACGCACGGAGGACAAACCAGGACATTTCCATATTAAAAAAAATCAAATTTCAAATGTATGACACTGACTTGGAAACATTTGTAATTCACATTGTACACTTACACCAACTGTGATATGTACATGACAAATCAGTCAAAATAGTACCGCAGTATATATACTCAGTGATATTTGAACCATTTATATGACAAGTAGATATATCTGATTGATGTTAATTTCAGGATTAATATTTAAGATTTTATGTCTGTGTTATAACTACATGTAATCTCTTGTGTTTTTTAGTGTGAGGTGATGAAAGTGAAGGAGCCAAGGAGATAAATATCCCAGCAGCACATTGGCACAAAAGTAGAAGGGCCGAGCAAGGATGCTGGAGGCCGATGCGGACCCGGCAGGTGCAGGAATGGAAGGAGAAGTGGAGGCTGGCATGGGGAGCAGAGACCTGAACGCTGAGGTGATACGACTCACTTTGGAGCTGCAGGAGGCCACGGAGGAAAAGCTTCAGGCAGCGCGCTATGGCCTAGTGGTGCTAGAAGAAAGTGCTGCTCTTAAGGTGAAACACAGGCAGCTGGAAGAAGAGCATGAAGTCCTGAAAGTGGAGCTACAGCAGCTGAAGGAGGTAGGAATGTTTCAGGTTTCCCAGCTACGTATATTTATGTGTTTAGACAGTAAATACAGCTTTGTTTTTATAAATTGTGAGCCAGGATTTCTTCCTGATCCTGAGCTCAAGTATCCTTTTGGTACCGATGTGGGAACTACTTTGATACGTATTTACCAAAGATAATTGCTCAGCCTCTCCTCTCTCTGGATTACTTTCTGCTCTCGTAAGTGGGTTCAGTAGGGCCTAATGTAACAGAGCATGAAAAACATAGCAATTAGAGGGTTGAATTCATATTGGGATTTTGCAGTGAACTGTCTGACTAATATATATTTTGTAGTCATAAATGATCCATTCTGTTATCTTGTTATTTATGCAAGTAAAAGTGTATAGAACTCAGATACTCTCATATAAAATTGAGAATGGATTAAAAAATTCTAAGGGTATTGTTCCAATTTAAACCAAAATAAGGATGTACATCTAAGGAGGTTTTTTTTTGTTTGTTTTTTTACATTGCATATATGGGGTTGACCAAAACCAACCACACGTCAGTGTCCTGAAATAATTGTCACAAAATTCCAGGTCAATTTAAAGGCTTGATGTTTTGCTGAAACCACATTATTCTGTTTACAAAAAAGCGACGTCTAAGACTTCCTGTAGATAATTAGATGCCATGTGAAACAAAGGTCGAATACACATGTAATTATACAGTTTTTTACTGTATAATACTGTTTACTGTTTTTTTTCTCTGTCAAGGGTATTTATCATAATCTGCATAAAGCCGACTTCTTGGCTTTTTACCCAGTGGTCTCGCGTGATGTAAATTAACACACTTGTATAACAGCTTGGCAGTATTCAGTCAGGCGTGACCTTTCGTTGTTCTCACTCCATTTAACAGATCTTTCCTATCTGTAGTTATTGGTGCAAAATGTGTCAAAGCTGCTTATTAAAGCAGGCTGTGAAAAAAACAATATTACTGCAGTTCTGACTGTTCTGTACACGTGTGATATTATAGCCCAGCTGTGCTGGAGGTGTCTAGTTACACAGCCATAATGGCTGTTTCCTTGTGGCGTTAGTGCTGCTTCTAATGGTTTCAAAGAAATTTGAGATCCATTTCTTTTTTTTTTATATGAGGAACACAATTGTCTTTAAACACAACTTTTTTTTTTAATCTTCTATTCTGGAAAAAATGATTCAAATGTTTGTTGCTCATTATTTAACCTTCTTTGTTTTTGTTTTTATTCAGGCTTTTGCTGATTCCGTGAGCAGCCAGAAGCGCGCTGCTGCAGATGGAGAGTGCCGGGAGGAGAATCTGCTCCAGGAGACTGCCACGAAGGAGGCTGCCATGGCAACACGCCTGGAGGAAGTTCAGGGAGAGCTCAAGCAATCGCGGCTTGCTCTGGGCAACGCACACGCAGAGATCGATAGACTTGGGGTTGTCTCTAACCAGTTAAAGAAGGTATAGTATAGAAGGTGGTAACATTAAGTTTTACCAGATCTTTAAGTCACACATAGAGTGCTGTAAAAAGGTAAAGGCTGGTGTATAAACGTATTAAATCCCCTCTGATGGGCAGTTTTCCTTTTTTAAACATTTAAAGCAAATAGTAAAAAAACTGGAGGCTTTATCTCAACATTCAACATGTTTCCTTCCATCATGGGCACAATGAAATTATACACTTACCTTAAGAGTTTGAATAAAAGTGTTTTGTTTTTTTAAGTCCTGTTACTGGAAATGGTCTGCCAACTCACCCTAGCCAGGAAACAACCCCTGTTCCCCGGCTGAATCAGAGTTGGCAGCCTGCCCTGCATTCCACAATCCTCATGTTTATATATATATATAAAAAAACATATATTTTGTTTGTAGATTGGCCCCCATGCTGCAGTAGGGTGTATATAAATATATAGCCTTAAATATACTCTGTGTATATAGCACTTACAGTGTTTATGTGTGTTGTAAAATAATTACAAACTCATATTATGTTAACGTCATTCGTAAATATTTTCTTCTGCTGTCCAGGAGTGTGAGTGTCTGGAGGCAGAGAAGGGCCATCTGAGGGATGAGATTAAGGAATTCAAAGTGCGGGAGCTGCGTCTGTTGCAGGACAATGGCGAGCTGGAGGAGGAAAACACGTCTCTGCAGAAACAGGTGTCTGTGCTGAAGGAAAACCAGGTACGACGTTACGTTTTTACATCCCAGACTCTGCTCACCTCGGTATTTGCAGAGTTTCGGTGAATAATTATAGGTGTTCAAACGCAGGGGCGGGGCAGCAAAACAGGAACACTGAAGTGGACAAATGTTACTGTCTTGAAGGATTATGGGTTATATCTGCCGATGTTTACAGAATAGCACGTGCAGATGTGTCTCATTGTCAACCTGGCGTGTGACTGCAGGTTATGTCTACGTGTACATCTGGTCCACTTTCAACCACAGTGACGGAGCGTCACAGCTGTGTCACTGGTTTTACTGCTTCCGTTTTGAGCTTGGTTTTTCATGCAGACGGCGAGTCTGTTGTCTGTGGGGTTTTTTTTGTTTTTTTTTCAGCCACTGCTTTTTTTTTAGCAGTTCCCCTTGAAATGCTATTACATTAAGATTAAGGTTAAGGCTGAAGACACCTTCATTCTTCTCACTGTGGGAGAAATTTCAGTGTCATAGCAACAAGGTAGAATAGAACAGCAGATAAGAATCAGGTACAAATTTGAAAATGCACCAGAAGTAAAGGGAGGCATGCTAATATTTAACCTTCGTAACGGCAGCAGTAAAAAACAATTAATAATATCTGAGCTTTTTCTTATTACACAACACAGCTACTTTAATTATCTGTATAAAAAGTAGAAAATACTACACAGTGTAGAAAGTACAGAATGTTTTTTGTTATTGCTGTGTTATAATTTTCTCTAAATACATTCCTGAACATTGATATCACTCCTTAAAAAAGAGGCCAAGCCTCCAGCAGTCCAAGAATATTCGGTTTGAACTTTAGTCCTAAATGGAGTTATTGAGATGTGATTCTGTCATGAGTGACGACAACATTTTACCGCTTTTGGTTTATTTTTACTGTGGGGAAAAAAAAATCTTTAAAAAAAGATTCCATGGTGATATGAATATAGAGTCAAACGGACGTGGTCCAGCAGTAAATTAATAAAAAGAAATATGTATTTAAATGTGTATATAATCTATTACTAGACGTGGATTTACACGGATCTCTGTTGTCTTAATATGTATTTAAATGTGTATATAATCTGTATACACGGATCTCTGTTGTCTTAAAAAATGAAGCTGCAGAACACTGTGTGGAGCAGCAGTTCTGTGAGCAACTGTCATGGTTGAAATTCTTGAGGCTGCGAGACAAGTCCCACACACAGATGTCTGTCTAAGGACCTTCTGTGTCGTGGTTTCTCTGCCAAGTCAAATAGTCTGTCAAGAGTTGTTACTGTAATTGAGACTTGTGTTTGTGTTCATGACCTGTGTATCAGCTCCCAGATAAAACACGGCCTCGCCTTTAGTCTCTGGTGCCAAGAAAAATCTTTGTCGTTTATTTACACTCTAAAATGTTCTGTCGTTAACCTGTTAGTTCACACAACCTTGGTTTTTTTTAAATGTAGCCTTGAATGATATTTATAACGCCAGTACGTTGCACCGGACACCATGTAATTTTCAACAATATAATGAACTGTTAATGGTTACATTTCTTAATTGTTCATTTTTATAAGTATTTGCTGTCTTGTTCTGAAAACTGTCTTTCCACTTCTTTAATACCCATTAATGGTATTAATTAACTATTGTAAGAAATTAGACTGTTAAGCTGCTCAGGAATACAAACTGCGAATCACATTTGAAAAGTTCCTTAAACGTTAAAACGATCACTTGATCGGTGCTCATCATAAACAGAACTGCGATCCTAAATGTTGTTCACTCCTTGTCTGTTTGTAGGTTGAGTTTGAATCAATAAAGCTGGAGCTCAGCCAGAAGAACGAGGAGCAGGAGGAGCTGCGAGGTCAGATGGACGAGGAGACAAGGTTGAAGCAGATCGCGGAGATGCAGCTGGACGAGGCCCTGGAAGCCCTGAAGGAGGAGAGGGAGCAGAAGAACAACCTTCGCCGAGAGCTCTCCGCCCTGACCCTGCACCCCTTCGAAGGTGTGGGGAACCTGGAGCTGCACCTGCAGCAGATGGATGACAGCCAGGAGCAGGGCCAGGGGGGGGAAGAGGGAGCGGGTGAGGGGGAGCACCGGGACAGCGGCTACAACAACAGTCCCGACTCTGCTCGCTCCTCTCACTCCAAAAGTAACGGCCTCAACCACTGCAGCTCTACACCTCGCAGCAGTGATGTCATCCTGCGTGCGCCGGCATCTGGGCTGGTGTCAGATCTGCTCAGTGAGCTACACTTTTCAGACAGTCAGAAACTGAAACAGCAACTCCTACAGGTAGGCAACGGGATCGATATATGTTTGAGATATATATATATATATGTGTGTGTATATATGTGGGTATATGTATATATATACAAATACATATATGTATACAAATACATATATACATATACACATATATATGTATGTATATAAATGTGTGTGTGTCTGTATATATATATATATACAGACACACACACATTTATATACATACATGTATATGTGTATATATATATACACATATATATGTATGTATATAAATGTGTGTGTGTCTGTATATATATATATATGTGTGTGTATATATGTGGGTATATGTATATATATACAAATACATATATACATACATGTATATGTGTATATATGCGAGTACTCTATATATGTGTATATATATACATATACTTACAGTATATATACACTTATATATGTATGCCCTATATATGTATTATATATGTATTATATATGTATATATATGTATGCCTATGTATTTATGTGTGTGTGCATATACACATATGTACATCTGTGTGTATACTGTAAACAAGTGTTGAAGGTGTAGTTACAGTATCACCTGAGTTAACCTGAAATATGAGATTTCGACAAATGGCTGAATAAGCATGTAATGACCTCACCTGATGTTTGGAAAAAAAAAAAAAAAACTCTCCCTGGAACAGAGAAATTACTGTTGATTCTTCATATTTGGCTCAAAGCTTCTCCTCCGACCAGACCGTGTTGAAACAGCGTGACGTTCAGTACCAATGAAGTCTCCTGCTTCCTGATCTCGACCACATCCGCTCTCTGTGTGTCGACCTACTTAGAACAAACAAAATCCATTGTCACCGTGTTGTGTGATCTGCTTGTCAGTCTGTGGTAAAGATGCCCAGGAAAATGAAGGCTGTCAGTAACGTTCACCCCTCTGGGCATAAAGGAAATGTATTATTCATGATGCACTTATGTTGGTGATGGGTAACCCAATCCAGCAGATGTCAAGGGTGAGGGGGTGGAATGGGGTCAGTCTCCCCCTTTTTTTTTAGCATTAATAATGCATATGTGTGATGTGATTGGTGAAAATGATGTTAAATAAGAAAAAAATATATAATTCATGTACATGTACATTCTAGATGTATTTCTCTGGCCTAAAGTACTATCACAATAATTGTAATTTCTTGTTGTTGTTATGGTTCATATTTCTATTGTTATTTTTTTTTTATTTGACACCAACCTAGTCTAAAACCGGTGGTCTCCAAATGACATGTTTCATATCTTCCGTTTGTTCAGGCAGAGCGAGAGAAGTCCACTCTGGTGAGCAAAGTCGAGGAGCTCCAAATGCAGCTCATGATGTCCAAGCAGGCTCTCGGGCAGCAGGAAGACAAAGCCCTCACTCAACAACTGGAGGCCGTGCAGAGCCAGCAGCGCCACCAGGAGGCAGAGGACTGCGAAGACGCTGAGACGGCGGTCGACGCCGGCGATAACGGAGTCTTTGACTACGAGGTGGACACCAAGAGCAAGGAGATGCTGGAGGCACGCATGCGCTCTGCCAGTGAGGAGCTGCTGAAGCTGAGGGATGAACTGTCTCAGGCAGGAACGCGCTACAACACTCTGGAGCAGCGGTACAAGCAGGAGAAGGACCGCTGGAGGGGCGAGGCCCAGGAGCTGGCCGACAAGATCCGTCAGTGCATCAAGTCCAGCAAACAGGACCAGGAGCGCATCAGTGAGCTGGAGAAGGAGATCGGTGCCACGCGGAAGGTGGCGGTGGATTCAGAGGGGCACCTGAGCGTCGCCCAGGAGGAGCTGCTGGCCTTCTCCGAGGAGCTGTCCAACCTGTACCACCACATCTGTGTGTGCAACAACCTGACACCCAAACGCGTCACCCTCGACTACTACCGCGACGGCGCCAGGGCAGGTGGTGCAGCGAGTATCGTGAGGCGACCGCACCACGTCCTGACCCAGCACACCACTCCGAAAAAGCCCCGAGCCAACGACATGTTCATCTCCAAGGCTGCAGCGCTGCAGTTAATGGGGGAGGTGGACAGTGCTGGGACCAGTGGGGACTCTTCTAGTTGCCCCGGGTCGCCCACTCTGGATTTCAGGGATCCTTCCAACGTTTGCAACCTGGTAGCTGTCATCCGCTGCCAGATCAAACACCTGAGGGTAAGACAAGACTTTGTCTATTCCTAAATTATTTGTGGTACCTCAGGGTACCTAGGTAGTTGACAAAATTTAAACATTAAGTTTGAATTAATCCCTGGTTTGCTGATGGTCTGACTGACTCACTGACTGTGTATATAAGGGGCGTCAAACTCATTAGGGTTCAGGGGCCACATACAGCCTAATGGGACGGACTAGTATTATTATAACATAATTACCTATAAATAACATTAATTCCCTCTTTCTTCATGCAAAGAAGTACATATGTATTTCTTCATATTTTGCTGAGACGGCGGTCGACGCCGGCGATAACGGAGTCTTTGACTACGAGGTGGACACCAAGAGCAAGGAGATGCTGGAGGCACGCATGCGCTCTGCCAGTGAGGAGCTGCTGAAGCTGAGGGATGAACTGTCTCAGGCAGGAACGCGCTACAACACCCTGGAGCAGCGGTACAAGCAGGAGAAGGACCGCTGGAGGGGCGAGGCCCAGGAGCTGGCCGACAAGATCCGTCAGTGCATCAAGTCCAGCAAACAGGACCAGGAGCGCATCAGTGAGCTGGAGAAGGAGATCGGTGCCACGCGGAAGGTGGCGGTGGATTCAGAGGGGCACCTGAGCGTCGCCCAGGAGGAGCTGCTGGCCTTCTCCGAGGAGCTGTCCAACCTGTACCACCACATCTGTGTGTGCAACAACCTGACACCCAAACGCGTCACCCTCGACTACTACCGCGACGGCGCCAGGGCAGGTGGTGCAGCGAGTATCGTGAGGCGACCGCACCACGTCCTGACCCAGCACACCACTCCGAAAAAGCCCCGAGCCAACGACATGTTCATCTCCAAGGCTGCAGCGCTGCAGTTAATGGGGGAGGTGGACAGTGCTGGGACCAGTGGGGACTCTTCTAGTTGCCCCGGGTCGCCCACTCTGGATTTCAGGGATCCTTCCAACGTTTGCAACCTGGTAGCTGTCATCCGCTGCCAGATCAAACACCTGAGGGTAAGACAAGACTTTGTCTATTCCTAAATTATTTGTGGTACCTCAGGGTACCTAGGTAGTTGACAAAATTTAAACATTAAGTTTGAATTAATCCCTGGTTTGCTGATGGTCTGACTGACTCACTGACTGTGTATATAAGGGGCGTCAAACTCATTAGGGTTCAGGGGCCACATACAGCCTAATGGGACGGACTAGTATTATTATAACATAATTACCTATAAATAACATTAATTCCCTCTTTCTTCATGCAAAGAAGTACATATGTATTTCTTCATATTTTACAAAATATAATTTTACAAAACATCATGACGATGAAGTGTTTGTGCTTTTTCTACATCCAAAATGTATCAATAACTGGCAAATTTAATCTCATAGTGGGCCGGTTTTGGCCCGCAGGCCTTATGTTTGACACCCCGTGTGTGTATATATATATATAGATGAATGTTTTTGGCCAAAACCAATCACTGAATTTTTTTTTAAAATTCTACAAAAGCTTTTTAAAAAATACATCATAATAACAGGTGCTCCCAGTTGGCTGCAACTTAATTGAATTAATGATTATTATTTTAATTTTAATTTGAGTTAATTCTTCTATGTTCCCAAAGGTGGCAGTGGACCTGTGTCGTCAGCGCGGCTCCACGCCGTATTCCGGGCTCAGCAGCAGCGAAGAGTCGGAGCGAGACGCCGAGAGTCTGATGGAGGAAGTCCTCAAACTCAAGTCTCTCCTTAGCACCAAGAGGGAGCAGATTGCTACGCTCAGGACTGTTCTCAAGGCTAACAAGCAGGTGGGTCACAGCCAGCCGGTTAGTTTCCTTTAGTCTCGTGCAGTTTTAAATGGTTTTGTCTTAAGGGGCTCAGGTTTATTTATTCAAATCGGGCTAATAAGTTAAGAACTTGACGAGCAGCAGTGTGGTGTTCAAGGGAAAAGTAACATTTTGTCCCACTCCAGTCTGTGAGAGGAGATTAACCTCCTCTCCCTCCTTTATTCTGTTCTCTTCAGCACAGGCAAAAAAAAAAAAAAACCTACTTATTTTCACTGCCCGTCACTTTACCTTTTTCCACAAGAACAATCACTGAATGTAGTCGGCTCGACTGGACCGTGTTGACGTAACCTTTAACCTCTGTCCATCGTGTGAAACGACTCAGGCTTGTTTCTGTGATGTAATTACTGTTTTTATAGTCACATTTGGAACAGCGGTTTCAAAAGCGGGGGGCGGGGAGTTTATCTAAGCCGTGTCCAGCAATCCGTATAAATTTAATGACTTTCTTTTTTTTTTATCTTTGGGAAAAACGCACAGAGAGTTTTGATTGTCATCTTTAAAATATATATTTTTCTGCATACACAAGTACAACAGTGGAGATATATTGGTGTTGTTGTTTTTTTCTGAGCTGCGTTAAAACCACACAACATATGTGGATTTACAGTGCAGTAAATTGAACATTAAATATACAAATCATAAAAATGTGGTTTGCAGTAATGCGTTTTATGGCTGCTTTTACAACAGCTCAGTCTGAAATACATCCGTAAAGAGAAAATAAAACACATTAAGACTGTGCACGCGCTCACTTGAGTGGAGTACTTATCTCCTGGATTTCGGGCTGAAACGTGGCTCTTTAACCTCCTGACCTTTTTTCAGTAGCTGCATTCTTTGAACACTGTTCCTGTTAAACTAGTCCTGACTGCAGACGCATGAGAGACAGTTGTTACGTTACAGCTCTTAAATAAAATAGGAATGAGGTTTTCACACTGACGAGGCTGTGGTTGTAATTACACACAATTACACTCAGGACGAATAGTTGAACTAATTTAATTTAAATTGTAGGGTAGTATTATTGGTATAATACATGAGGTGTCAAATTAAAAAATTAAAAACTGGGTAAAAAGTCACGGGCAAAACTCAATATTTATGGAACAATTGACTGGAATTGTGCATGTTTTCTCTTCTCTCCAGATATGTAATTTTGAATTTTTTTTATATGGAAAGAAACTTTATTTTTGCATAACCATTAGATCTGTAACAACCAAAAAACAAAAAACAGTGACTTATTATGTCTCTTTATCTGTAGCCTTTTGAGTTCCTTTTTAATGAAAATCTTTTTTTCAGAAAAATAAGTATATATAAGAAAATGTTTTCCTAACTTTTGTGTCCCTGCAGACGGCAGAGTTGGCCTTGTCCAATTTGAAAACCAAATACGAGACGGAGAAGAGCCTGGTGTCGGAGACGATGACGAAACTACGGAATGAGCTCAAAGCTCTAAAGGAGGACGCTGCCACGTTCTCTTCACTCAGAGTCATGTTTGCTAGTCGGTAAGTTTAAAAGAAAAAAAATTAAAATAGAAAATGACAGGCTTTTACCAGGAGGGGCAGTAGTTGGTAAATACTTTCTCTAGCTCTTTCCTCTGCTCAGTATTGTTCCTCTTGTTGTGGTCCGGCCTTAGCCGTCGCTCATGTAATGAGATTACAACGCTTATTACGCTCATGGACAATCCACTGGTTGACATGAGGATTATGAAACACATGCTCTGCCCTGTGCAGACAGGAACGACACAAGGACAGATTTGTCCCATCAAGCCAGGTGACCTTAAGGCAGATGAAGCATGTGGACAGGACGGGAGATGGTGTGTGTGACGGACTTATTCAGGGCTAACACCGTGCTAACGACCAGCGTCTCTTAGCATGCATCGATTGGCATGTCTTAAAAGTAGGGTTTTATTTTTAGACATGACAATAAAAAAAGATGTAAAAAAAACTATGTAATTACATGATAACATACTCCTGCATCACATAAAATAGAAATAGCTAAATTAAAATTAACCTTGTTCATACACAACTTTTTTTAAAAAAAATGAAAAGAAAAACTTTAATAATGATTTTTTTCAAAATAAATTTTGTAAGATTTTTTTAAAATGCAAAAACCTCTGTGTGATGTCAGGGGTTAGAAAACGTTGGTGTGCATATTACTCGTAGTGCTTGGACACCCTCTAGTGGTATGTGGGGGTATTTCTCTTTTCTTTCCACTGGGAAAGCAAAATAGTGGCTCTAAACTGGAACTGGAATAAGGAGTGGGAATCAAAGGGAGACTGTGAAGAGTACAGCTGTTTTTAACTTTTTTATATTAAGTCTTAGATTCAGAGCTGATTATTTAAAAAAAATATTAAAAAAACTATAAAGTAAAAACCTCTGAAGTCACTGTGTTAGTAGGCTGCTGTCAAATGAACTTTATTAATTCAAATCTAACCCAGGTAACAGTTTGAAGCCATATTAATGTTTGGCTCAGAGGCACTAACATTTTCTACCCCCTGCTACACGTGATGTCAGTGTGTGTGTGCGCACCGTTTGTGCTTTCACCTGGTTCTGCCTGTTTGTGCATGTTGCATCTTTTCATCGTTTCTGCGTCTCTCAGGTGCGACCAGTATGTCACTCAGCTGGATGAGATGCAGAGGCAGCTGGCGGCAGCTGAGGACGAGAAGAAGACCCTCAACTCGCTCCTGCGTATGGCCATCCAGCAGAAACTGGCGCTCATTCAGCGTCTGGAGGACCTGGAGACGCCCATGTCTCCTCACAGCTTAAACAGCAGCCCCCGTCGCTCCAGGGCCAAAGAGCTGGCCAACAAGTCCGGCAGGGGCCCCCGCAGCCCGCGTAGCAGTCCCGCCAGGCCGCCGATGAGGAGCAGCCCACGGGCCAGCCCGGTTCTTGGCAGCAGCGTTCCTGCCATGGCCACCCACCATCTGCGAGCTCTAACACGAAGCCTTCACACGAGTCCCGTAAGAACAACTTTCTCATTATCTCAGGGGGAAACGGTCCCAACGAGCGACCCGTCGCACAGAAACAAGAGTCTCCGGCGCGATGCCACGTTTATTAGAAGTCGTAGCGTCAGCAAGTCCCGTTCTGGTCATTCCCTCGCATTTAACAGCGCCACCTGCACAGTGGAGGTGGCAAGACAAGTCAGTGATTTAGGCTTGAGGAGCAGGAGCAGACGAGCTTCTGAGCCTGCACGTCAGGAAACCTTCTTTACACCTGGTGTCGTTAACGCCTCACCTCCTCCTGCTCTTCCTCCTCCTCCTCCTCCTCCTCCTCCTGCTGTGTGTGTCTTTCCTAACCAGTCTGAAGCATGGAGTGAAATTAAAAAGAAGCCTGATCTGAAACTAAACGTAGATCTGTCTGTGCGCAGAAAACAACATGTGGCCCGCGGGTCCGAGTCTGTACGAGCTGCACGTATTAACACACATCAGTCACATATGGTAGGGGTCTCTACGGGGTCGTTCATGTCCACGCCGTTCTCTGCTCACAGCTCATTGGTTAATACTGAAAGGACAGGAGGCTGTAGAGAGTCCAGACGTAGATCATCTAGAACCAGAGAAGAAGTCAGACAATAATCTTAGTTCACACTACGTTTAAAAGTGTTATTGGATTTTGTGAATGTCAAAGCAAATTAATCATGATTAATTGCTGACAATTGTTGCCCAGCTTTTTTAGATCTTAGTTTTTTAAATCTTAAATCCCAACAAATATTCAGTTGTGTATTTTATATTGTACTGTATCCTAAAGTATGTCGTGTCAGGAGCTTTTGCTCACGGTCTCCGGAGTAGAAGCTGCGTTAACCGTAGCATATTTGTTTTTTCTGTAGACAGAATTTAAGTCACAGCATTTGTTAAGTGAAAATGTAAAAAAACAAAAGAAGTTTGTTTGTTGTGTCCATACTAACTTTTTGTCTCTGTCTGACCCTGTCTCTGTAGCGTTGAAACACTTCTGCGATCACTCCGAACCCCTTCTCCTCCATAAGGACCTGTCTTCATGTCGACTCCCCAGCTGTTCCTCCTCCTCCTCCTCCACTTCATCCTGTTTATCCTGACGTCCATCACTCTGCATTCAGGAAAGGCCGATTTTAAACCAATGTTAAAAAAAAATACAAAAAAAAAAAATCTCTCGTCCCTCTTCTTGGTCTTCTTCTGCGTGGAGTGGAGAAGCCTGCATGCAGCCCACAGAAGGATGAAGAGACCGATGTGCTGCTCGTTGCTGTGTGAAGTCAGTGACTGTGTCGCGTACAGAGCGGTCGCACCATTAACCCGACCTCCTCGGAGACTTGTGGTTGTGGTGACAGACCTCTGACGGTATTTATTTTTCTGAAGGAGACTTTTCCTGTGCAGTATTACTGTCCTCAGCCTGTCCTCCGCTCTGGTTTGTTTTGAAGCTAAACATCATTACACTATTACGCCTTCTGCCTGGCGTTCTGGTGAGGTCTGCGTGGAACCCTGTGGTACTCGTGGGCCTGTAGGTCAGCGGTTCCCAAACTGAACTTTATTTTTCATGCTCAAAATAAAATATCAGATTTCCTCACGTTGTAACAAATCAAAACATAGCGAAATTAAAACTCTGTCTGGCTTGCTGCATTTTTCCCACGACAGATCCACGCCCCCCACTTTGGGAACCACTGCTTTAGGTCATTTGGTAAAAAAAAAAACCCTTCCCCTTCCAGTTACTGATGTTATAAAACAAACATATTAATGAATTATTTTTGTCCCGAGAGTTTTTAGTTTTCTGTAGTTTTAATTTTTTTTTTAATGTTTTTTTTTAACCATGTCTTTTAACCTCCCTGTTTAACTACAGCTCAGTAAACAGACGGTGTCAGATAAAGAAATGGGTCAGGCCCACGTTTATCACAGTAGGTCACTCCATTCACATGGAATATTACAGTGGTTCCTAAACCTGTTCTGCAGTGTCCTGCTTTTGCAGATCGTGCACGGTCACAGCTCTGTGTTAAAACTCCACTGATCTGAATTCAAAACACTAATTCCTACAGTATTATCAAAAAAAAAATCAATTCAGTGAAAATGAATTTTTTTCTAATGTGACATTTTTAGAATAAATATTGAATTTAACATATATATTTGCCTGGTTGCTCCTCATCCCCCTGCGATACCTCCGTCCACCGCCCCCCAGTTTGGGAACCCCTTGCATTGACTCATGTGTTGAAAAAAAAAAAAAAAATCTCCCAGATCGTGGTTTTATAAAACCAATCAGCCTTACTTTCTGACTAACCGACCTTAGTGGTTTCTGCGCTGACTGTTTCCCGGAGTCTTAGACCTGCTTTATTTTTACTAGTCACTGGTCTTTTTAACCGTGTTCTTCAGCTACAGGCCAGTAAACATGCAGTAATAAGACACGGACACGTTGCAGTCGGCCGTGTTTTTACTAATCAGTTCACCGTCTGTTCTCATGCATCGTTTGGGAGATGATAGATGTGCGTCTCATTGGCCAACTATGCAGACTTCATCAGTGAGGCTGACTGTGTTTCTCTGCTCCGGTTTAAGACCGGGATTTATATCAAAACGTACCTCAACGTCTGGACTTCATCTGTTGATCCGCGGAGGCTTTTGATGGAATGTGTTACTTATTGTTCTCACCATTCAACAGTGTTACGTCACTAAAGAAATTCCAGGCGCTCGGTTTTTACCTTAAATGAACTCTTGGTCCACGTCCAGCTCTCCAACAGTAACAACCCGTCTGCGTCTCTGTCTGCGTCTGCTTGTTCTCCCTCCATCTAAACAGTGACTCTGGTGTTGTTGTGCTTCATCACTGACTCGTCCTCATGTCTGCTGCTGAAAATACGCATGTCGCAGTGAAATATCCGCACTAACCACGATGGCCACTTCCTCTTTTACGGTTCCTGCAAACTACTGAAAAATGTGCTGCTCTTGAAAGAATTAGCTAATTGTTATAGATTATGACCCAACATTGCTAAAGAAGAAAAAAAATTAAAATGAAGAAGAAAATGTTTGAAGAAGAAATTCAAATAAAACTTACAACCATTTAACCATGAAAACATTAGTTGCTGGTACAGCCGTCTGAGACCAGGTGTGGTTTAATGACCAGTGCATGACTCAGCACATCCACTGTACCATGGACGAAGAACTCGATCAATGCAAAAAAAAAAAAAATACAGTCATCAATTTTATAGCCTGGGCCACATGATGCAAGAAGTGGTTTGTGCTCTTGCCTTACAGCAAGAAGATCACCGGTTCGCTGGTTCGATCCCCTGGTCTTTCTGTATGAAGTTAACGTGTGTGTGTGAGTGTGTGAGGGTCCAGAAACACACAGATTGGAAATTAGTTCAGGAACTCGTTCACGCTAAATTGATCGTAGGTGTGAATGTGAGTGTGAACACTTGATTCTTTGCTTTTCATTGAGATTATTTGTTTTAGTGCCTTTGTTTTGATTCTCTGTTCTTAGACTACTGTTTTCTAACAAGGACACTGTTCAGACACTGACGTTGTGTTGCTGTTTGTTTGTTTTGTTTTTTTTTTTTTTTTTTTTGCTTGTTAAGTAAACCTGAGCAGTGTTAGCAAAATATTTTCACTTTATAGTCGGCGTACCAGGGCATTCTTAGCAAAGGAAAATTCTCCTTTAAATTTAATTATAAAAGAAAAATCACTGAATTAGAAGGAGTTCTTGTGTAATTATTATCACAGTGAAAATACTTCGTTTGAAGGTTGTTTCCCGTTGACTTTGGTTTCTCACATCACTCCGTGCAGACGTGTGTGTGTGTGTGTGTGTATAATTTTAAATACTACTGCTGTATCATATCTCACTGTATTTATGACTGTATTATGTGTATATTGTTCTCGAAGACGTGCACACTCCACACCACGTCCCCGTTGGTCCTGGACTTTTTACGTGTATTCAAGTTGACCTTCCATTAACCTGTCAAACGCTTTCAACGTGAAGAATAAAACGAGCCACAGCTGTGTATCAACTGTGACGTCCTGTCTTTTTCGGAAATTGACTCGTAACGATATCTGCCAACTGACGGGGCCGTACCTAACCCCTGGTGAGCCAAGAGATGCTTGATGTAGACCAGCGGTTCTCAAACTGTGGTACGCTTACCACCAGTGGTACATGAGCGCTCTCTAGTGGTACGAGGGAAAAATTCACATTTTCACATTTACATTTTCAATTGAATAAATCTGAAACATACCATACACAATTAATACAACATTTAAACATAAACATCTTTATAAATATCTCTCCTGTGTGGTATATGATAATATGTGCTATATTCTAACGCTGGTCATCATGGTGGTACTAACGTTGGTCATCATGGTGGTACTCGGAAAATAAAAAGTTTGAGAACCACTGATGTAGACAATACTGCAAACGTATTATGTGCAAACCAGTTTTTATATGTGATTAGTCACAGCCCTGAGTGACTCAGTGACATCAATGAAAATACTGCATCTGTATGGCCTGTGAAAACTGACACATATCACCAGGATGGACAAGAAGAACCCAAATGATGGGACGACCATTTGGACTTCACTGATGTCCAGCACAGTGGACACAGGTTTAAAGGAGTTTTGCAATCTAGAAAAGACCTAAATCTGACAATTGAACAATGTGATGATTAATATTTTTTGATATACTTCCCCAGTGACTCATTGATTTAAGATAAAAATGCTGAGCAAATAAAATTAATGGACTGCATCTTGTTCAAATTTCAAAGACTCATCGTGAAGTTTACACAAAGGAAGTTCCATGGTCAATAGTAAACCATTCAGGATAATCATAAACTTGATATATCCACAAAGAATAAAATCACTTTTTAAATCCCTTAAATTTATCTCTCATCTGTCACAAAAACCCATGGGTCTGGACGACATCTAATCACAGCAGGTATTTATGTTTACTGTGGTTAAAGTCTGTGTGTGGATAAATTATGAGGAATGTGTTAATGTGTGAGAAGCAAAGATAAATTTAGATAATTTAGATAACAATTATAAAGAAGCTTCAGACGACAGCAAGAATGTGTTGGGGGAAAAAAACAACTGCTTCCTGTTTGTACAAGATTGGAGCGTCACTTAAACTTCACATAAACTGTTACAGTTTAGGCCTCGGTTAGTTGTTTATACTTCAATAGTTTATTTACTTTATAAAATCAAATATAAAAAAATCAGTGATTTTACTTCGTTTGATGTTTAATACAGCAGCAATAATTACACAAAATTCACATCAGATGGCAAGTATTATAATTATTTTAACAAAGATATTTCTACATTTTGTTGATATAATACGGAGGGTTTGGCACAATATTGGTTTACGGCAAAAAGATCACGTTACGTCAATAAAATGCATGCTTCATATTTTGTTATGAGTTTTTATAATTTACAATTTATTGTTTTTTCTTTTATCTTAAAAAATGCCAACAATGTATTTTAAAAGTTTTAAAAAAAAGGTAGACTCAGCAACTTCTTTAGAGAAATGTTAGTCCTACTGTAACTGCGCAAGGAACTTTTATGAGCTGTTCCAGTGACGCAGAGGTTTATGATTGGCTGCAGGAGTAATCGCCCCTCCCCTTTCTCAGGCATCGGCCTCGGCGGGGCGTGGCCACATGCCTGGACTTGTTTTCATCTGTTCAGCTGCACAGACTGCAGCTTTTTATTCGGGACTCGTTTGTTAGAGAATTAAAATGTCTATCAAGACAATATGTACGGTTCTGAGCCGTGCGCTGAGGAGCAGTGGGAACCACGGCTCTCCCCTGGTCGCCGGCTCCGCAAACGGGAGCAGACTGTCCAGCACATGCGGGTCTTGTGGTGGAAAAGGCGAGGAGGAGACAGAACAAAGTTGCAGTTCAGACCCGGAGAGACCGAGCGGTGATGTGCATTCGTCCTGCAGCGAGTCGGCTCCTGCGGAAGCCAAAACGCGACCCAAGAAGAAGGTGGGCGGCTCCGGTGTCGGTGGTGTGAGGGGCCGGTCGTTCACCTCCACAGCCGCTCCAATAGACCAGGTGTCCTACTTGTGGTCCCGGTACAATGACATGAAGCGGTTGGTTCACGGTAGGCACAGCGTCCTCTTCTCTACCCCCACCCCACTCCTCATTCCCATCCCCCGCCATTAATACTCACTTCAACCTCAAAAACCCGGGTGAGACGTGACCACGTCAGCGGGGTTCCTTTGCCCCCCTCCCTCCCTGCACTCTCCACAGTCCGCTGCCAGCGGAGAAGTGAAGACATTTTGTTCATTCAGGGAGGGAGGGAGGGAGGAAAAGCTGACCCTCTTTAACTTAGTTGGCGGGTCATGTCCAGGACACGTTTACGTCAAAGTTGCACTGCTACATGTTAGAGCAAACACCACGTGACGTGTCTACAGGAAATATGCAAATATGTCACTTTATACAAATCGATTTCGTCGTGTATCTGTGTATCTGTTTTGTTGTAACTGTAATGTAAATGACTGTCCAAAAGATCGGTATCTTCTGACATGCTAATCTTCAAAATACTGCTGCCGGCAGTGACGTCAGCAGACGTAACCCCTCCATGTTTATCGGTAAAATGTAGTGTGTTTGTTTACATATTTGTTTACATATTTCCCCCAATACTGTTCGTGTTTTTTTTCTATATTTTCATTTTTTCTGTGTTATATTTTGTTGTAAGATAATAAGTGATTACTATGTAAAATAATAATAAATAAAAATAATTATTAATTTTAATATCTATTTCTGTTTACGTTTTAAGATATATATCTTAAGCTCATAGTTTTAAGCATTTAAGCCATAAAATCCACCAATTCTAACTGTAAACACAGTTTTAAAAATTGTGTCGTGCCTTTAATTACATTTTATCTGTAAAGTGTAACATTTATATTTTAATTTAATATGAGCATTTAAAGAATAACTACGACGTAAACAACATTTTCTCAGTGCACTTGGCTTGTATTGTTCCTAACAGTGCAACAGTAATTTTTTTTATTTTTTTGCAAATCTCTACCTACAAAAAAAGTTACAGTTAATGTGTAATAAATGTGCTCTAAATATACACATTATTTTTGGCTGGTAAAATCAACAGTTGTTTTAGTGCAAAAGGTTTAAATATCTATTGGTTACAGACGTCGTCCGTGCACGTCGTGGATTCAACGCCATATTGTTTACTTTTTAGTCCGTCCTATAATTTCATACAGTAGATGTGAGTTTATAAATATGACTTCACCACACCACACTGGGTTACGGTCCCTCCGTGAACACACCACTTCCCAGAAGGGGAAAACCGACTTGTTCCACTTTCTTCTGCTGTGTTGACAGTTCTGTGTTCATGTTCTGGGCAGGACCGCAGCGACATTCTCCGGCCCGGATTGTTTAATCTGTGTCGGTGTGGCAGTGGCCTGGCATCTGTTCTTATCTGGAACAGTATCCTGTGTAAAAGCAAAAAAAAAAAAAAACTACAGGAAAAGAGAGAAAAGACACACAAACATTGACTTTGGTACACTAACAAAAACATCGCTTTGGTTTGGGTTGGAGAAGAACACTGTGTTCTTTTTGGATCGGCTCAGCTTAGTCAAGAGTCAGTTGACATCTTTGGAGTCCACGTTATGCAACACGCAGCGGGGCTGCCAACTTGACAAAAGTGAAAACAGAAGCAGAGTTACTTCTGTTCCTCTCTGCAGGAGTTGATATTCACTCAGATTTATGACAAACGAATGGGGGATGACCTGCTTTCACAATCAGGAAAGTCTTTCATTTTGCAAAGTCACTGTTTGATACGTAATTGAATCGGAAAGTAATACAAGGTTGTTTTTTTTAAGACAAATAATGAAAAATATTATTTAGTAAAATTACAGTTATTTCTCTTCATTTAATCTAAACTCATCTTCAGTGGGTTTTTTTTACATTGGAAAATTCCTTCTCTGTGGAATTCTGGAGGATGTCTGAGGTGTTTAAATTATTACAATTAGTCTTAGAACTTTTTGACTTTCCTTTTAAAGTATAAAGATATATTAGTCAGCTTTTATTTCTAAAAGTAATTAAATAAATTAGAAAATGTATAAAATGAAAAATGAAAAAATAGAATTTCATTAAAATAATGTCAAAATGGAAGTAGTCATAGTAATAGCAGTTGCACTGTCAGCAATTATACAGAATCCCTCAAGGGGGCGACAAATCTGACATCCTACAGGTTTATTGTTATTTTGCGGCTTAGACTTTTTTTTTACTGATATTTTCTGGACCTGATAGTAGCTTAAAATTGTATCTCATATGTATTTAAAAAAACAAACTTAAACTTCATTTTTTTTTCTTTTGTTTTGGATCAGAACTGATTCCACCCGGTGCCTGTAAGATCCTCAACGCCTCGGCCATCTACGCCAACAACGAGGTCAGCCTGGGCGAAGTGGACATCTACGGCTTCGACTACGACTACACGCTGGCGCTGTACTCCAACGCTCTCAACACAATGATCTACAACAAAGCTAAAGACTTTCTCATTGAACACTTTAAGGTGGGGCTGCATGACTTGACATTGACATTAGCAACATTAGCAGATTGAAATACTTAATTCTTTTTCTCCCGTCTCTCCGACAGTACCCCGTAGACATCCGAAAATATGATTACATTCCCAGCTTTGCCACTCGGGGTCTTCACTACGACATCCAAAAGGTTAAAGGTCTTGAAGTATTGCTTCAACAGGAGAGTCAGTTTGAGCTCCAGTCAAAAATAACTTCTTTTTTTTCAACAGGGTCTTTTGATGAAGATCGATGCCTTCCATTATATCGAGCCTGGAACTGTGTATCGGTAAGTTCTAGATATTTGACTAAAGAAACAAAAATAGCTCATATCCAAAAAAACTTTTTTTTTGTTCATGTGTCTTGTCTCAGGTCGACGTTTTGGTTTTTTTTTGGTGGCAGCTCACTGACTGTTTACGACTCACAATTTGTATTTGTTTTTCTGTTTATTTAACAGTGGCCTGAATCCAGTCCCAGACGAGGAGGTCCTTGAACTTTTTGGGGGAACATTTCATATCCCCCTGTCCATGGACAGTGGCTTTTATGGAAAGGTGAAGAAAAATGAAATGTATTATTTTTGTAGATTATGTAATATTCCAAAAGTTAATGTTTCTTTACATACTTTGTAGCGTTGTTTGTGAGTTAACGTAGATGGGGGCGGGGCACAAGCTAATGCTAATTTGGGGGTCCTGCAATGGAAAAGTAAAAATGAATAATAATGAATACTGAAAGAAAATAAAAGAAAAAATAAGAATTTTGCAGTGGATGAAAAAAAAAAGAAAAAATAAAATCATTGAGGTTTTTTATTCTGAACATGTTTTTAATCACAACAATTCCACTGACATCAGTTGTTGTGAAACAGAACCATCAGGTGTTTTCTGTTTCCTGCCACAGGAAGCTTTCATGTTCCTCCAGTGTTTGATCCTCTTTGAAGCGTTCTGACCCAAAATACAATATATTTGTTGTGGCTCCAACTTAAAAAAAAAAGAGCAGAAATATATATATATATATTGAATAATGCTTTGTGTAAACAAAACAAGCAGAGACATTTTAACATGTCCTTCATCACAGGGGCCAAAGGTCAAGCAGTTCATGGACATCTTCTCCATCCCAGAGATGACTCTCCTGGCCGTGGCTAATGACTTCTTCATCACTAACGACATCGACTACGACCCAGTTCATCTTTTTAAGGACGTCTCTGTGAGTTTTTTTAGTAAAAGGGTTCTGTAGTATTTCATTACATCACATTCCTGGAATGACAAAATTATAATAAAAAAAAAACCAAAATAATAATAATAATGTTCATTCGAGGCAATACTTCTACTACTGTATTTTATGGGTTATAAATCACAGTAGTGCCCTCTAGTGACTGTCAGTGTTAAAATATCATGTACATTTTTAGTGGTACAGGAGTAGCAGATACTGTTACACAAGCCTAGAGTGCCCTCTAGTGGCTGTCAGTGTGAAAATAACAATCGTGAAATTATATATTTTAATATATATGTCTCACCTGAGTATAAGTCGCAAACATAGCCAAAGGATTAAAAAAGAAAGGTGCGACTTATAGTCCAGACAATGTGATACTACTAATAAACAGCATCATCGTTAATATTATAATTCTACTTTATTACCATTATAACTACTGTACGATACCTGTGTCCACAGGAAGCTATCGGCATGGTCCACCTTAAAGGCTACATGTACAAATGGATCATGCAGGACCTGGGTGAGAATTTACATTTTCGTATCCCCTCAATGACCCCGGCTGTGAATGTGGTGATGGTAATTGTAGTCTCTGTGCAGATAAGTACATCCTCCGAGGAGAGGAGACCGAAGCCGTCCTGCACCGATTGGTCAGCCAGAAGAAGAAGCTCTTCCTCATCACCAACAGTCCGTTCAGCTTTGTGTGAGTGTCGTCTGCCTGAAAACCACAGGATGACACCGTAGCGCCACACCTCACACAGCAGGCGACAGTTAGCGGTCTGCTAACGCTGAACCGTCTTTGTTTTTCCTTCCACAGAGATAAAGGGATGAAACACATGGTGGGAAAAGACTGGAGAGACTTCTTCGACGTTGTCATCGTGCAGGCGGACAAACCTCACTTCTTCACCGACTGCATCAAGTGAGTTCATCCACGGATATTTCATACAGTACTTGTCTGTGTACATAAGCTGTATTATTTCTTTTTTTTTAAGTATACATATATATATACACATATATACATATATATTTACATATATACGTATATATATACATATACACACATATATATAAATATATTTTTGATTGACTGTATATGTGGTATATACATACAAACATGTACATACACAAATATATGGAAATGTATATATGTATGTATGTGTAAATATATACAGTATGTATATATATTTAGCATTATGTATGTATCTATATATGTATATATTTATATGTACATATATAAACAAATATTTATATGTTTGCACATTTATATATATATATATATGCATTTATATATTTACCCCTCTTTTTGTTCAGATACAACAATTTAGTGCTAATCTTCTGATTTAATAGTAGAATATTTTGTGAATAATCCCAGCCTTTAAATTAAATTTGAATTCTCCTCAGACCTTTCAGACGCCTGGACACCAATGGAGACCTTCGATGGGAAAAGATCAAAAACTTGGAGAAAGGACAGATCTACAAACAGGTCTGTGTCATGTTCCCAGCTCATCTGAAAAACACCGGCGTCTCCACACGTCGTACTCTCTGTGTGTGGACTGGAGTTGGAGACAATACGCTGACGTTGTGGTTTTGGTTTGTGTCGCAGGGGAACCTGGTTGACTTTCTCAGACTGACAGGCTGGCGAGGATCAAAGGTGCTTTATTTTGGAGATCATCTGTACAGTGACCTGGCCGTAAGTGTTGAACCTGTTCAGCTCTACTTTATAAACCTTTCTTTCTTCAGGGTATTCAGTATTTTCGTGGCGTTAACTTCATCCAGATTTGTTTTGTTTTTGTTTTTTTTGTCCTGTGCTCAACGACTCCCCCTATCGAATGAAAAACGTAAATGCCCATTGTGGTTTCAGGGTGGGGCTTGAAAAGAGAACATTTCTGACAACACTTGGTGGAACAGATTGTTTCAGACACGCACCACATGTAACACGTCCACAAACAAAAAAAGCCAAAACATATCCTGTTCCTCACACGGTGCAGAGACTCGGCCGAGTGAGGTTTATAAAAACAACATGTGAGATGATAAGAAAAACATTTCTGAGTAGACTCAGATTTGACTTTTTAAAAATTTTTTACAAAGAAAACACGTGGTTAGCCCAAGAGAGCGGTCAGATGCTAACGTATTTTCACTGTAATGTTACTCATAGACAAGAGCAACTTTAAAGAAATATACAAAATAAAAAACAAACAAATATGGTCCACAATATTCTCCAAATGAACCTAAAAGTACGAATCATGAATCACTCAGAACTCCAAAGTCATTAGCGTTACCACATCCTAATCACGTTAACTTAGGCTTCCCCCTTAATTAAAAATAAATACAATTAAGTCTGTGATTGATCGTTTATCTCTCATCAGAAAATAAACATCCTGCTCTGGACAAACAAAGTTACTACGTGACTTTACACAGATGTCGACTGTGAACACAGTATGTATTTGTTTAAATTAATGTCGTGTCAGCTCACCTGTGTGTTCCACTAATGGCTCATGACAATAACTGGGTTTCAAGGTTGAGTTTTTTTGAGTTGCTGTAACTCTGGTTAAAACCAGTTCTGTCCAGTTCCACAGTTGGACCCACACAGCTCAGCCAGAGTTTGTTACTAAATGTCTGTCCATTCGTTTTTTTATTTTTTCTTTCTTTGGTCTGAAATGATAAGAGCGATGTAGGAAAAAAAAATCTTAATTAAAAAATAATTTAAAAAAAATACACAAACACTTATTGTTTAGAATATT